TGGGGGTGAGCAAGCCTCCGCCAATTCCTCGGATGAATATGTCTTTTCTCGATTTGAATGAAGCACATATTTTGTTAGGTAATTCTTCTGAGATGACATTTACGGATTAGCCGGTGTCAATTACAAGTTTTGTTTCTGTACCGTTGACTCGTGTGGGGACTGTGAGAAGCTGGCCTTCCGACAATGTGCCGATGGGGCGGCCGGGCTGGCCCCCTATACCCGGCCGTTCTCGTTTCCCGAAGGATTAGGCTGCACATTCTGACTGCCTTGGAGCTCCGCCTGATCGTTCCTGCCATCTCGGAACCGCTGCCAGCACTGTTGTGCTATGTGACCTATGCGGCGGCAAATCTGGCATCGGGGACGCCCGTCGTTCGCACGGGAAGTTCTCTGAGGCCAAGGCATTGGGGGGTCACGCACCTCGTCTTCGATGCTTTTTAGCCGGTCAGACAGCAAGGCGATTGAGTCCGCAATCGCTTTCAGGTCTCTTTCGCGGTCGGCAGCCTCCCGTGGGCAACGCGATTCGGCCGCGGCGCAGGTGGCGACACACGTAGGAGGAGAGTGCCCTGTCGCTGCGGCGGGTGCGAACCCTGCGGGATGCGCGATGTTTTGCATCCAAGACTGCAATCCGGTAGAATACTGGATGCCAATCGGTTGTGGCGCCGACGCACGGCTCATCAAAGCTGCCAGATTTATGCGTTGCAAAATTTGGAGGAATGCAGTGCAGCTCTCCGGGTTTGCGATTATCATCTTCTCCAGAATATCCGGACGCAAACCGCGCATAAGGTGCCGCAACCGATCATCTTCCGTCATGAACGGGTTCACTCTTGCACACAGCTGTACGACGTCATAGTAGTACTGCTCGGGGGTTTCGGACGGCAATTGGGTGAGGTTTTGTAGCCGCAAATGGGCGATCTCGACTGAGTGGCGACTCGTAAAGGACGTTTTTAGTAGCGTCGCCCATTCTTCCCATGTATGGGAGCACCGGTTAGAATTTGAGTGGTGTGCCACTTTTTGGCATCTCCGTCTAAAGCCAGATATAGAAATTTCACTTTCGTGGCTTGGTCCCAATTATTAAGCGACGCTACATGTTCGTAGCAAAGTAGCCATTCGGAAATAGATTCCTCCGGCGCGCTCTAAAGGCTGGTGGTCCGACGAATGGTTTAGCTTGGGGGGTAGACATAGCAGAGAAGAAGGTAGGGGGTTCCGTCATAGTAGAGCAGTCAGAGGTAGGTTCCTGATATTTGTTGTTGACTCGGGGCATAATTTCAGAACGGGACTATCGTTACCGAGCAACCTCCACCACTTTGTAGCAAAACGTCGGGGTTGTTCAAGTTAGGCGCATCGGACGACCAGGGAGACGAATAAGTGTGGGTGAAACTCCGCGGAGGCAATCGATGAGACGTCGACACGATGATTTCGGGGAGCACTCATTGGGGGTTTATTTAGCTAACACAACTTCAATTTAAAAAATGCACTGGGTCACAAAGACAAAACATAGAAAATGGTGGCATACCCCTCGGCCTGCATAGCTGGTATCCGGTGGTGAGATCCGCTATTGACCCCGACTCCGCTCACTTTTCAAATTCAAACATCCTCTTTTTTACCCTTGGTCGAACAAAGAGTATTCACAAAAACCAATCACATGTTGGGACTCGCAGCATCACAACCAATCACAGAAACACTTTCATAAAAGGCACTACATTTGTAAAAACCTCGTCCCCAAAATGAAACACGCAAAGGGATAGGTCCTCCGCACGTGACACTCTCTCCCATGCCAGGCCGTGCTGCCCAACATTACTCGTGCTGCCTCCTTCGGCCGACTACCGTCGGCGGCCGTTCCCACGCTCGGGTCCCGTCAGTTCTTTCATTAACTGTTGCTTCCTAGAAGTGTCCTTAAGAGCGATGGATACACCATTGGGCTTTATGCACTTACCAGGTGTACATGCGACAGCGAGGCGCCCCGACATCCTAACAACAGCGCGGGAGAATATGGTCGTTTACCTGCCGCCACTATGTCTCGTTCAGGCTAAGTGGTCGCGTCCCCATGTCATTCTCAATGACACGCGTGCCTGTTAACAATGGCTTAGACTCAGACGGTGGCGCCGGACCTGCCTCTTGCTAGACGCTTTTCCGAGTAAGCTTTCCCCTTCTAATCCCGAACGGGGGCGACCTTGACTGCTCCGCTTGTGAGCCGTAAAAAAACAGGGTTCTTCGCGAAACCTTGTTTTCGTGAATATATATATATATATATATATATATATATATATAACGCTTCTAGCTGCACATTGCCGTCCCGGCTGTCGATGATTGTCCGACACATGCTGAATTTGCGACACTCAGGACTAGTCCAGGATGGCATTCTACATAAGCCCAATCAAGGGACCCCCGCACCATTTCAAAACTGTGTTGGGAAGCTTTGCGCCGTTATAAGGTATGCTCAGTGCTCTGTGAAATGTGTAGCTCATTGTAATCGTTCCAATTTTAGGATTGCTGGCCATGGCAGCGTCATCACACCAAGTTTATTCCACCCTTGTTTTGTTTTCATTTTTGTTGTTGTTGTTTTTCCTTTTTTTTAAATCCCGGCATTGTATTGCGACACCACGTGTGCGTAATATCTGGTCCATAACTTGGTGTTTGCAACAGCCTAGAAAATGCAAGCGGACAGAACTGCGGCACGTCTGATGAAGCAGTGAATGAAGCTTTTCGGCAACACCTTGTTATCTCCGCTTTCGCAGTCGAAACCACACCAAAGGAAGTGAATAATGTTGATCATGCACGATATTCATGCAAGACGAGACGGAACGGGCGTGCAACTGATTTGGCAAAAGTAATACGGGAGACAACAAAGAATGTCCCTCTTATCTGGAGCAGTCAAGAGCTTATTTCATCATGACAATACGTGGCTTTTGCGAGCGTCACGGAATGTTCTGGAAATACGCGATAAAAATTTGCCAGGAGAAAAAAAAAGCGCGTTCGTGGTTCGAATTTTCACAAGTTGCTTTGAAGCCCTTCAAGCCAACTGGCTACAACAGCACGTGCTTATTGGGTGCAACTTTGAACATTTGACGCCAGTCCATTAGCTTTCGAGTTCTTTCCAAGCACAGAGGGGTGAATTAATTTATTGTCTTCGCGAACCTTTGCCCAATGCTCCTGCCCCTCTCCTCGAGAAGCAAGACCAATCGAACTGCCCAGTACACTTCATTCCCTGGCGAATAATTCTTAGTGTGGCGTCAGTGCCATTACTATATTGATTTGGTTGGCGTTTACCATATAGATATCTTGGCAAGCGTCTGCTGCGTAAATTGAATATTACATATCAAAATGCCACCTCCGTAAATATAATTATTACTTTCGTTTATGTTTCGCGCAACGTCATGCCCGTCAGAGAAGCCATTTGGCGTGAACATGTAATGTCGGCTCCTAGGCACGTCTTAAACGCACCTATTTCACGAGTTTACGATGCAGTGTGTTTAATGCCTATGCCTTGAGGTAACTTTATTGTCTATGGCCCATTCATGCATTACGTGTCGACATGAGTGAAAGAACTTATTGTTCATTCTTCCTGCATAATCAGTTAGTCTTTCTCAACAGGAGCATGGAACAGTGTAAAACAATTTGCATGACACTTAGGTAGATGCTTGGACCATTTGGTGGGATATTCTTGATATTGAAACAATCCTGGTGACCAAAAAGCAGTTAAATAACACACAACAGAGCTGACGTTGAAACTTTCGAAAAGCACATCATCAGTTATTCAGCGTGTCTCTTGAAATGCTGAATCCTGGCTCAAAGTATTCCATGGGCAGGAAAGTACAGGAAGGAACTTCTCCGTCTCGAGCACTTATTTCAAAAAAGGCTTTGGATGACAATTCAGAGGGGTATTTTTGTGGGTTTGGAAGGAGTGCTGTCGTCTGCCGTTTTACTGGTGTTATACTGTTTGCCCTTTTCAAGGGTCACGTACTGAATGATTCACAGTGACACAAAGTACTCAACAATTTGACATTCGCAGCGCACGAACGGAACTTTTGGTGTGACGAGAACGCGCGTGGCAAAGGAAAAAGTTTGTACGATTGGGGACGAAGCACTGAATATTCTAACACTCTTTCCCCAACAACACTATACTAGTGGCCCACTTAAACTAATATGTCAGCACAGCAGACGTAGCAACTGCATCTTGAAAAGACCTCAATTTTACTGTTTTCAACAGGTCTACCTATTATGCAGTCTGTTTGTTTTCTCTATTAAATCCCAAATGTGGGGCCCCAGGTTAAGTGTGAAGGAGTAAATAAAATATAAAAGCCAGTTTCGTTTACAATCATTAACCGTTTTTACGTTATACATAGAAGGGTTCCTAACCATTTGGACGCTATATCAGGCAGTCAGCAGACTAGAAGCCCATCATTTTAGTCTACAGGGGCACAGTACAAAACAGCTATAATTAATAATGATGACAATGGTGCAAATGAGCGCCGGCTATCAAAAAAACAAAAAAACTTGAGACATTTCAAGTTGTTTTAGCATCAGGTGGAAGGAAAGGAGTGGTAGGTGAAAATGAAGAGGTACACCCACAGATGCAGAATTCGACGCCACTCCCCCCGAAGACAACTTCTTCAATCCAATTGATTTGGTTGTTCATGCAAATACACAAAAGGACACTGTACCATTACGATTAGGTTCAGTTCATTCTGTGCAATCATTTAAAGGGCGTCATCATTACTTGTCGCTGTGAAATCGCACATGATACTGCAAGAAACCTTCATCGCAATTTGAGAAACTTGTAAAGCATCAGGGTTTGCTATTTATAGAAGAAACCTTTTGGTTACTCGCAAAATTTGTCGCGACTGAATGAAATGGGTAATGAACATGGCCACCTACGTATATCCCAGTAAGCCTGCTTTTACAGAGCGTGCTTTTAGGGCAGTCGTGTAATTAACTAAATAGTCTACCACCTCAACGGCCATCACTAAGAGCACACTGTCCACTATCATTCCTTCCCGCAGGAATGGATGGTACGCCAGGCAAGCCTGGAGGGCCTGGGCAGCTAGGCAAGCCGGGTGGAATAGGTTCACCGGGTGAACCAGGTGAGCCTGGACATCCTTCTAAGGACGGTGGAAACCCAGGAGTTCCAGGCAACCCGGGCCGTCCGGGCAAACCCGGCCCACCAGGTCTTCCCGGCCCTACGGTTACGGGCGCCGCCGCGGAATACGCAAACAAGCACCCTACCGATGCGAACACTAGCAGCAACCTTGCGAACGACGCTGCTAAGGCGGGGCCGGACAAGAGCGCACACGCGGCCGATGGCAGAAACTCTATGAACGGGGTGGCACTTAACGAGGTCCCCGCGCAGAGCAGGCCACCGGGCAGATACCGCAGGCTCCGCCAGGCCAACAAGCGCCGCCATCACAAGCACGGCCACCCACGACTGCGCAGCCTCAACCACTGAGGCACGGCTTCAAGAAAGCGTGGCAGGACTTGGTGTGCTCCCGAAACTTGTGGGCAGAAGGAAGCAGTGACTTACCCGGCATTTAAAAACCTTTCATTTGCTCTATTTTCAGGAAGTAAAACAACGGGTAGTCACTTCATGTATGCTTTTATCCTTTATTTGGTTGCTTCACTTTCTGCAGAGCCGTGGCTCTAGTCTGCTACGTTTGTTTCAGCTCCAGAAGTGGGAGAACATGTAAACTAAAACTGGTCTGTGCTGTTTAGCGTAAGCTGATGAAGGAGCTCTACACGGAGACCATTGTGCGTACTTTAAACCTATTAAGTCTGTACTACCAGCCTTGCGTATATATGAGAATTTATTCACACTACACTCAGAACAGTGGTATTCGCCGTCTTACTGACGAATGTAAGCAGCGCGCATCAATGGATAATTTGTTTCTCCGTCATCGGTTATTGTCTTGGGAAAAAGCGTCATAGCCGCGAACCAAAGAGTAAACGTTTTTGCATCGAGACTGCACAGTGCACATTTCGTATGGCGTGGCGTTGCGTTGCATGAAATGTTGCGGCAGCCGCATTGCGTACTACAAAACTGGCCCTGACCCAACGCAACTGCATTGCAGTGTGTTTACTGTTGTACCGGATCTTCCAATACACAAAAACTAAGTACACTATACTGCTTGCAACAGGTAGAAATGCATATTAAAAAGCTACTACCCTTTAATGCATGATTTCCACCAACTGGGTGATCACTTTGCTGGCCTCTATTACCAACGCTGCTACTGTCTTACAATATCAACTGTCATGCTTTAGAGTGCTGTTGTGCATATTTCGCCTACCGGGACGTGGCGAAGCATGCGAACGCCTGCTTATTTCATCTCCAAGCGATTGGCGCTGCTTAAACATTTGCGGCAGCCATGGGATTCCATATGTTTTGGAGCTGTTTACCGGCTTGAGCCACTGGGACCGTGTAGATTCCTCGTTGGTTGGCCTTATGTTGTGACGAAGCTGAGGCTTAGTAGCGAGGGAAAAGGGCTGCGAATCACCGTGATTAAGGAAGGCGAGAAGCTTCTGTCTGCGCTCCTGCGCATGTGCGCAACCTCTGGCAGTCTCGCCCCAAAGTGCATCAAGATAGATGTTGCCTTGCTCTAAAGTAATGCAGTTGGGTTCGCTTGGGCGTTACACAGTGGGGCTTTGTGGATACGGCATGTTCGTGAGCGCTAATATAGGCAATGCACACAGCACCAACGATGCCATCTGCCAGCGTGGGTCAGAAGCATTGGCGGGGCCGGGCGAAGCGCGTGTGTTCCCGCGAGCGTATGTGTAGACGGATGTGTGTGTGTTTTTTTTTTCTTCATCGTGAACTATTCTGTCGGCCTTCAGTCGAGGAATAGTTCGAGGAATAACTGCAGCAGTCGAGGAATAACTGCTGCGATGTTGGCCGCTCAAATACATAATTCGCCAGGAACGCCCTTTTACAGTGCTGTTTCATGAGCAAGAACGACTTTGGTGGTGGATTGCAACTGTCTGATGCAGAAGGTAAGCAGTCGTGCTATGGTTATGGCAGTGTTTGAACTATCAGATCATTTTTGGTCCTCCGTTTATGTCACTACGTGTTCAGTGAATGCTACGTTTACACTTGCTCACTTCACCTGTATTCTGGACGCTACAATGAACGTACCAAGGATGTTGTTAATGATGAGACGTGATGCCTCTCTTGAAAAAGCGATTGCCGTTAAGCGCAGAGCCAAAACATTTGGGGCCGGTGATGGCATCTTTATAAGAGCGCTTTGCACGATGTTCATCCGTGGGCTACGAAGTTACCGCACCATGTTTCTGAAAAGGCTTTGTGATATTAAGTTAACGTCTTTCTTTCTTCCATATTCTTTTTTTCCATATTCACTGTACACTGTTATATGATTGCTGTCTTTTCTTGTGTCATTCGGGGTGAATGTTTCTACGTAAAGGGAGCATCAAAACATGTCTGTGTGTATTGTAGAAATATTTGTCTTTATGCTGCCTCACGGTGTGTATTTTTTGTTATGTTAAGCATGTTGTCCCGTGCGTCCTGCGAGAAAGTGAAGGCGACAGTGCATACGTGATCTGCATGATTTTATGTAGAACGCAACAACAAGAAGGACGAGGAACTCTCTGGCGTGCGTAAATAAAAAGACCGACCCGATGCTGCTTTCTCAGCTTTTTAAAATACGACCTCTTAAAATACGACCTCTGTCTTCACGTCGCGACAACATGAAATGTGGGCCTGCCCACTGATCTGTGCACGAGTCGTAATATTGCACAACCTGTCATTATCTCGCCTCACATTCCCAGTTTGGTAGGGTGAGGAATCCAGCACAGGTAAAGGAAAAAAATTGGCGAATCGAGAAAAATGTAAAAAAAACTGGAATAGTATGTAAAAGTTCTGGGTATCTTTAGCCCGAATGTCCCAAAGCTGCAACTTACAAACAATTAAAACTTACAAGCGAAAGTCTATTTCAGCACAAAACTGCTGTGTTGGCCTTCAGGTAAAATGTCACAAGGTAACGGGGGGGGGGGGGAAAGGGGGTAGGGAGTTCGGACGTCGTGCGGGGGCGCGCGCTTGAGGCCCGGCTGAAGTAGGTTGCCGAGCCTTGGTTTGTGGCCACATCGTGCCGGCGCTGCGCACTTCATTAGAACGGCCCGCGGCGCTGCTCTAAAGAAGTAGAGTTTCGGGGGGGGGGGGGGAGGAATGGAGATTTGTGTCTGTCTGTTTCGACCTACATGTCTGTGACCTCGAAATGATGGCTGATTGTCGTCAGCATGCCTACTTGAATAATCTGGTTGGAACGTGTGCGGGAACGTCGTGTTCTAACAAGCTGAAGCGCGGGCACGTTCAAGCACGGCGATGTCACTCAGAACGCACCTAGTGCAGATGGGCTGATCGCATGCTAGATACGGCAGCTTAAGCGAATATTATTAATCACGCATGTTAAGGCCCCTCTGTAGAGATTCTAGCGTCCACGACAGCAACAATGCAACTCATGCCGTTGCAGAACGGAACGTAACAGTGCACTTACTTCGTTTAAATTGAACCCGCAAGGGCGAAAGTATACGTTTTGTGTCGTCTGCTGATGATAGTCGCCATCCAACACCTCTGTTTTGCAGAACAGTTGCCAGCACTTGGCGAACATCGCGTCGGCCAATCAGTGTGCTCATTCATTCCACTCGTGCGTCCCACCGTGAACAGCCTCCGTCTCCAGACCGGCTGAAAACCGGAATGGAGCTGAAAAACGGAACGGTACCGGTCGTGCGGCCGTACCGTGTTTAGGCCATAAGGCATAGAGTTTCTCAATGTTAACTAGAGGGCACTCTGGCACTGCGATCGTTCAGCGAACATGGAAATAATGGGTAGTACACACATTTGCCTAGTCTTCGTACTTGCGGGCGGCGAATCGTACTTGCGGCTTCGTTCATTGCTGTGTTTCGATTTTGTTTTGAAAGAAAGATTCAATCCTTTTGAACTTCATGACCCAATTAGGAAAGACAATTCGAAAAAAATGGGGCGGTGAAGCGCAATTGCTGAACATTTGCAGATTTTTGTTTCGTGAGAAAACAACTTCAAGCCACACGAACACACACGGAGCCAAAAGCAGGCCAGAAGTACGAAGTTTAGACATATGTGTGTACTACCCATCATTCCCATGCTCACTGAAGCGCCGTGCGTTGCAGCTCCCATAGACACTAGAGCCATAGTTCCCTCTAGTGTATATTGGGAAACTCTATGCCATAAAGTTTGGCCTTTCCGCCGCTTCCGCGCCTGCTAGACGACCCAAATTTTGTCTTCGAATTCTGAGCTAGCGAGAGAGTCGACCCAATGCGTCTCAAAGAGGTCCGGGTTTAGGTGATCGAAAAGCCGTGTAGTGTGTGGGCATTTCCAAAGTATGTGTTCTACGTCTCCATATACGTGTTTACATAAAATACAGCCGGCGTCGGGGAATCGACTGAGGTATACGCGGTTCAAGTGCATTGTGTTTTGAAATCTTCTCGTTTGTAGACGTCTCCAGCCTACTTCTTGATATTTTCAGTTCACTGTGGGGTTGCGAATATATCCTCATTAGTCTTTTTGTAGTGATTCAATATGTAGTGAAAGGTGAAAAACTGATCCTTATTATCAAACTCGGGATCAGTGAAACACCATTTTCTATGGCCGGCACTGTATTAGAATGCCATTCAATAGCCAAGTATGTTTTCGGTAAACATTTTGACGAATGCAATTTCTGGCACATTTATTTTCATTTTTTTTCATGGCTACAATCTGATGCTCGGCTATTTTCTTTTCTTAGATCACCCCTCCGGATAAGTCACAAGCCATACATTTCTCGAGCTTCAGGCTTATTGATCACAGAATATAGACAAAGCAATATGCTACTTTTGCATTCTTTCCTGAACTCTTGTGAACATGAAGTGTTCCTTGGAGGTCTCTTGAGGTCTCTTGGGGTCTTCTATCATAGCGGCATGCTTTCTCTCCATAGGTGCACCATAATCTGAAGCGAACATGAGCCATTCTATTATTGTGTTTAAAACAGCTGCGTCAGTTATGTTGAACAGGTTGAGTCTTTCAACGGTAAAACAGGATAAAGCAATGAGTTTCTCTTCTTTAAAAAGTCATCTTTTCACCAATCGCTTTCACCTATTTTCCACAAAACACAGAGAAGGAACATTTGTCAAGAGTCTGATTGGTTATGCATGATTATGAGGATGACAGCACTTGCCTAGACAGGAAGAAGTGTTGTTGAGCAGTATGATGAAATTCTTTTGAACTTTCAACTACAAGTCTGTCACTAAAGTAACATGCACAATCATGCGAGAACTCCATCAATACGTAAAACAATACGAAGAAAAACAATTTTTCGAGAAATCCCATTCTCAGACCCTTTTTCAGAACATGTTTTTTTTTTTTTCAAATGAGAAAAGGTCTTTCTTTCGAGTGCATTTTGGAAGCAGCATTGGTACACAAGCACTGTA